TCGTGCTCTGAAAATTACATATTTAATAAAGAACTCATTAGCAATTTGAATTATTCATATACCAATGTTTTTTGCTCCAGAATAGGGTTCAGATAAGTCATTGAAATAAGATTTGCTTCCCAACCGAGTGCCAGAATTACAACAAACTGATCTAAAAGGAAATATGAAAGAAGATTCAATGGCTAAAATATTGCCAAGGCTAACAATTAGAACAGGTTAACCATCTCCAAAAAGATAAAATTGCACATACCTATTTGTAAATGTTTTCCACTAGAACAAAACAAATCTCCCCAATCCTGTAAACACTTTTCAATTGTAACAATACACTCCTGCTTCAGTATCACAAACAAATCCTAAATAAATACATATAAATATGAAAAACAGATAAGCTGAACAAATAGCATATTTGATTAGAACCTGTTATAAGTTGCACAGTACTTACGTGGAATTCCTTGTAATTCATTCATATAAGAGAACTTGCATTTATCAGTCTCATTTGATTAATTTTATTGCATTCTATCCCGCCCTCACACATAGAGAAAAGCTATTGAGATCACTTGTCTGCTCAACCAATTTTATTATGGGATAGATTATAATAAGGATTGTTGGACTCAAAGTTGTTGTGCATTGATTCTCAAGCAGCACCACCCAGACAAAAAAAAAATCACTTGCGTACAGCACAAGAAGGAAAATGGCTCCTTAAAGAATCTCCTATATTTACTTCCGATAACTTTAACTACAGGAAATTCAAGTAGGCTCGGCCACGGACAGGTTATGCTTCTCATCACATTTTCTTCTCTGACCTCCACTAAGGTGATGTTCAACAGCAAAATGGCAAAATGAAGAAAAAAATCATGTAACTCCTTCCAAAACAGTTAAATAGCCAAATGGCTAAAATGAGAGAAAATTCTGGTCTTGTATTGCATCTCACCACATCTCTCAGAAATGTTGAAATACACAGTACACGCTCTGAGGAAGGGTCACCGGACCCGAAACGTTAACTCTGTTTTCTCTTCACAGATGCTGCCAGACCTGCTGAGCTTTTCCAGCAACTTTGTTTTTGTTGTTGTTGTGTATGACACTCCTGTTTTGTTTTCCCAGCCAGGTCAGAGCCAGTCCCTAGAATGAGGAGATGCTCTGAATCTCCTTTTCTTTTTAAACTCCCCACACTACCCACTGCACCCATAGGGGCCCCAGCAGTAGTGACCCTTCAGTTTTGATCTGTCTGCCATGGCTCCCTGATTGGACCAGATTAACAGCCCCAATCAGGGAACTCATTTTCTATGAGGTCTACCTGGCTGACCTCGTTACTACAGAGAGTAAAGCTCCTGATACTCCAATAACACACATTTACCATTATCTCAGAATAGCATCTCTGTTAGACTTCTCATATCAGACACTAGACTTTCTTGATGCCTATGGCAGATTGTTAATTCCTCGTACATTAGGGATAGTTTTTTTCTGGACACTCAAGCCCAGATGACATGCATTCCAATGGCTCAGTCATATTTCTGCAACACTCCATGCAGCTTGCATAACTTTGAATGCAAGCTTCAGAGGTGAGCTCTAAACTATCACTACTACCAAATAATAGATCACAAAGATATGTGGCCAGTAGAGTGAAATTCTCGGGAATGTTTTGAAAAAGGTTTGTCTTTGTTCCTGCCTTTTTTTTGTGGTGTTAATTGCTCCTGATAAAATCAGTTTGACTGTAATATTTTGAATATTTCAGTGCCATCTCTTTATTTGTACAGATATTGCTGAAAGGCATAACTGTCCTTTAATTTAGTTATGGTCCTGACAAGATGTATCATTATTGGTGATTCCATTCATGATGGGATATGTCCTTGATGACAGTTACGAGAAGCACACAGGACAGCATGTCCCATTGAGAGGCAAATTGTTGTGTTTTCCTGCCAAAATATTTGCCTTTGACATTTTTTTTTAAAATTAAGATCAATTAATAAAGATTTATTAAACAATGTTCAAAATTCAGAAAGCAATTCTGTGATGAAGGATATGGAAGAAAGTAAGGGGAAGACATTAAAACATGATGGTTAGTGGCACAGAACATCCAGACACATTTATTTACAGTGTGCAGGAAAGCAAGCAACTCCATGTATGGAGGATGTTTATGGTCAAAATGTCTTTGGAAAAGTCGTATTTCCTATACACAGACAAGGACTATAATGTTAGTGTTCTTTTCTCTGTATCACAAGTGCAAATAGAGCTAAATTAACCAACTTAGAGATAGGCCCAAGTCTTGCCCAATAGTTAATACAGATCCATGGAAATGAAACTAATTGATGCAAGTGGAATCACTGTTTGCCTGTTGCTTAAGTACCAATGTCTGATTTCAACATAGAAATTAGGTTTTTGATTTACTAGTTACTGGAATCTTGGAAAATTATTTTCTGGCTTGGCAAATTTCAATCCCTAACAGCTACAACTCACATCAAGAAAAGGAACAGTTCTATACCTTAAGCACACAGACAAGCTCACCTCTGTGTATGATATCATATTAATAAGTTTAGGTCTAAGAAGCAGTTTCTAGTAAAAAAGAAATGAAGCTCTGAAGTCAGTGTGTAATTTTTGTTAGCTCATGTTAATTTTAATTTACTAGGTTAAACAAAGGCAGCCGAAGCAGCAGCTGCCTTTGCAGGGTACCTTATCCTCAGGTGAGACTTCCTTTAGCAGTCTCTCTGCCATGCAGCGTCACAAGCAAACTAGCAAAATTGTAAAAACCCATCAGCATTCCTGTTTGGGATTTTAACAAAGCTGTGCAAGATGGCCTGGTGAAAATTTTGGTAAATAATGCCACTTCCATCAAGTTCAAACTTAATTGTCTCAATACTTTGCAGTTAGGGCCAAACAGAGAGATAAAAGAAAAACAGCAATGGCATACCAGTGTTTAAAGTGCCCAAAAAAGTTTCATTTTTGAAATAAAATAAAAGATAACCTCTGCTCCCATTATTATGAATTTACACCAAATTGAAACTTAAGGAATTGACTGAACATACAACACTATACTTCGCATACATCACTTCCAGCGTTCACATTGTTAATATGCACCATTATGCATGAAGCAAGTTTATTTTAACATCTACAATATACATGCAAAACACTCCATTTCGTTAGACTTCACTAGAAATAAGGATCAGTTAAAACGAGTTATAAATAACATTTGATATGAATTTATCAAATAGGATAAACTATCTCCAATACACTAGTGCCATATTAATACTGGCTGTTTATACATAATGCAGTTAAATTTATAATTAATTTAACTCGCTCTACTAGATATCTTTACAGAGTATGAACATATTACTGCTAATGCTTCCAAAATTTCTCTCAGGAACAAGTCCATTAAATATATGATCTTATAGCTGTTACGTTAACAGGTTTTGACATATAAAGGGCCAATTTAAGGTGAATGTGCAGATTTTCCCATTCTTTTCTTTCAGCCAACTAAAAGATACTTACAAATATGTTCAAAAATAAGATATGAATATCAGTTATTTTAAACCAAATATTCTACAGGTTCATAGATCCTCACATAATCTTTTCACTGGTATGGTATAAAATGGAATTAACTGCCACCACCACACATGCTGCCATTCCATGTTAAAACCATACACAAAATTAACAAAGATTTCCATTCCTTTCGTTCTATGAAAATTAATGACTATAATTTGGATAGCTTTAGTCTACAACAATTACATTTACGTCTCAAACAAAGCCTCTCAGTCTCACAAGAAAATGATTGTCAGTATTATTTAATTGTAAATGGTGAGTGGTGAATTGCTTCATTCTATTTGAAGACAAAGAACAAAACAAATAAGTAACTGGGATGCTGTATGTTGGCAATTCCTAAAATACCCAGTTTTAATGATTCAAAAGAAACCACTGGTCCCCTTTTTAATAGCTCAAGATAGCAGGTCCCCATACATTAACCATTAGAATACATAAAATTTTTATTTAACTTACCTTAGGCTGGAGATTTGGATGAAGCAATACGTAACCATTTGGGTCGATTGCAAAGTAATATCCATTAGGCCCAAGCTGTTATAATACAAAAAGGACTTTAATAATGCAACAAAATGCTATAAATCCAAAATGAAAGAAAAAGTTTAAATGAACACAATATTATTAAACTTAATGTGCATGGTGTCCATTGCATTGACAAACTGTGAAAACATAAATGCAAAATTTTCTAATTTTCTAACAATCATTGAATGATTTTACATTTTCAGCTTACAGCTGCACTCCTTAGAATTTAGATTATCTTAACAGCAATACATTATTAACTGTAATTACGTACAACTACATGTTAAAGACAAAGTAATTAGAATGCAATCAGCATCTAAGGGAAGCCAACTCTGAATCCACAGTTAATCCATTAAAGAGGCTATACAATTTTGAACTTCATTGATGTTAATTTTTGTGTTAGCTAGCTACTTCATTTGTTCATTAAACAATTTAATGATATAACCTAATGCTGAAGACAAGCAGTGACATCTTCTTCATGAGTTCCACATGTATTTTGGACAATATTAACACATGGATAGAAGGGCTGAGTTCAGAGAACACATCACAAGACAGAGAGAACAGGACAATAGTCAAAGGGAGAAAACTGTACAATATGCTGTCTGGGTAACATTGTCTCAGAGAATTAGATTGAATGGGGTGCACACAGTGCAAATAAATGAGCATGTGGGATTTCTGAACAATACTTACAGTGTAACGTGGTGTGAGTCTCTTCACATCCGCAAGAGAGACATCAATGCCCATCACTCCAAGAATCAATTGATTCTGAGAAGCAAAATAAACCACACCTTTCAGGAAAATGTTTTTCTAATGATCTTTTATTTTTATCTTAAACTTACTTTGGTATAAAACTACTCAGCAATTGTTGTCACAGGTGAGGAAGAGTTTTTTTTAATCAATATTCAGCAATAACCTAGTAGAGTGGTGCAGTTCCTGGGAGCGGTAGACTACATTTTGTTAAACCTTAACTCATATATCATGGTTACACTGAAGCAGACTTTAGCCTGAAAGTAATAATAATAAATGCTAGGAGGAGCTTTGTTACTCTCAGGTCATGTCAGCGAACACAAAATAAAAACTAAACATTTTATACATCATTTATTCTTGTCCTATTGCAGTGCCTTTAATTACTTCAAAAGATGCTACGTAAATACAAGACGTCCTTACATCCTGCATTCCTCATCTCTATTCCCTGTCTTCCTTTTTAATGTCAGTATTATTTTTGACTAATTTCTTAACAATATAATCTACTCTGAATTTTCCAATGTCATTTTACAAATATTTCTCAATCATTGCTCTTTTCGGGCATATTTTTTCTGTCTCCTTTATTCCAGTAGTGATTAGCAGAAGAAACAAATTCATAAGACAATTATTCAGCCATTTGGAGCACAGATCTATAAACACTGGCTTGGCCAATGTCAGATAAAAACATACCAATCATCGAAGCAATGTTTATTTTCGGTAGTGCTACAGGAAGTGCTACTGCTCAACAGATTATCTTATTGGTGATTCTAGATGAAATTGGATGAAACAAGGAATTGTGTCAGTCCAAAAGTTAAGCCAGATACGTGTAGTTTGAGAATTTGGGAGTCACAGAATCACAGAAGTGTTACAACATAGGAGGAGGCCCTTTGGCCCATCACATCTTTACCAGTTCTCCAACAAGCACTATTACTTAATGCCATTCGCCTTCTTTTTCTCCATACCTCTGCACGTTGTTTCTAATCATAAAAATCATTCAGTGCCCTCATAAATCCCTTAATTGATTCTTCCTTTACCACACTTCAGGCAATGTAATCCAGGTCCAAACCACTTGCTTTGTGCAAAAGATTTTTCTCACATCAAATCTGCTTCATTTGCAAATCACTTAATCCTGTGTCACCTCGATCTTTTAGGGAATAGTTTGTCCTCATCAACTGTATACAGGCTTGCCATGATTTTGAAAACTTCTATTAGAAGCCCTCTTAGCCAATCAACACCACCTTCCGTTTGCCAGCCATTTCAACTCTCCCTCCCACTCCCTCGGCGACATGTCCATCCTGGGCCTCCTCCACTGTCACAATGAGGCCACAAAAAAATTGGAGGATTAATACCTTATATTCTGTCTCGGGAGCTGACAGCCCATTGGCCTCAACACAGAATTCACCAGCTTCAAAATCTCCCCACCCCCTGGCATCATCCCATGTCCAGCCCTCCCTCTCATCCCCGCCTCCTTGACCTGACACAACCTATCCATCTTCCTTCTCATGTATTTGCCCCGCCCATCCCTTTGACCAATCTCTACAACCTGCATCCATCTATCACCATCCCACCTACCTTCCTCCAGCCCTGCCTGCCCCTATTTATTTCTGAGCTCCCTTCTCCCTCCCCAGTCCTGATGAAGGGTCCCAAAACATCGACTTTCCTGCTCCTCGGATGCTGACTGACCTGCTGTGCTCATCCAGTTCCAAATTTTATCGTCTCTGACTTCCAGCATCTGCAGTCCTTGCTATCTCCCTTTTTAACTTGCTTCTGTCCAAGGAGAACAGTCCCAACTTCTCCATTTTACCTTGATAACAGCAGTTTCTCAGCTGTGGAACAATTTTTGTAAATCCCTTCGACACTCTCTCTGTGCATTCATATTCTTCCTATAGTGTGACACCCAGAACTGTGCACAATGTTTCAGCGGAGGTCTAACAAGTGCCTTGTACAAGTTCAGCATATTCAACTTGCTCTTGTAGTCTATGTTCTGATTATTAAAGATTAGGACACTGCATGTTTTACTAATTGCTCTCTCCACCTGTCCTGTCACCTTCAATGATATATGCATGCATGCAATGAGGTTCCTCTGCTCCTGCACCCCCTTAACTATTGCACCCCCTACCTTATATCAGCAGTGCATGTTCTCCTTAGTAAAATGCATCACCTCACACTTCTCTGCTTTGAACTTCATCTGCCACCAAACTGCACACTCCAACACCTTGTCTATGTCCATATGGAGTTCAACATTGTCCTTCTCACAGTTTGCAGTGCTTCCAAATTCTGTATCATCAGCAAACTTTGAAACTGTTTCTTGCGCCCTAAGACCCAGGTCATTAATACATATCGGTTATTTTTGTAGTGCTCCTCTGTTACTCCAGAAAAGGTAACTAAAATAGCTGTATACACTGCCAGTACAAGGAGACACAGTCAATGCCATGAAGAGGGGCTGTGGAGCAAATAGGGCTGTGGGAGAACCATATGAAGTTCAAAAGGACAACATTTCTGCATCTTGACATTCGGTCAAGTGATGATGTAACATGAAATGGATGCAATTTTAAAATATCAATATTTCTAACAGATATAACACAGTGTGAAGCTAGAGGAACACAGCAGGCCAGGCAGCATCAGAGGAGCAGGAAAGCTGACATTTCAGGTCAGGACCCTCTTCAGAAATTTCCAACAGCCCTTTTACAACAACGGACATTATATATTTTGTCAGTGAAGATCACGGTGAGATATGATGTAATGGCCTTTCAGTAGAAGCTAAGAACTGAGGTAATTCTAAGAATACTGAGGAAGGCCAGGAGGATGAACACTTTGTGACAGAACTCAGGAACTGAGATCTTCCACTGGCTTTGCAGCAATGTGTGTTTTCTGTGACCATATTCTCCTACAATGAAGTGTTTAATGCTAAGGCTCTGTGCTTGGAGCTCTAATTCCTGCCATTAAGTTCAAAGGCACTGAGCTGGTCTCTCAAACAATAGAGACCAATGTACGTGTTCAAGATTCTACCACTAATGGCAAATAGAATAAATTCATTTCTCATAATTCTGAGCGTTTCTCTTCATAGAAGTGCAATCTCAGTGCACTGCTGAAAACTATTTCACTGTAGAGTATTATAGCATGGATAAATGATCATTTCTACATGATTTTAGAAGATTAAATAAAAATTTCATACTAGGTAAAAAGAGGATGTATATATATCACCCAAGCACAAGAATCTGTACCAAACTGTTACACTGGACAATACCTGGTTTCCACTGGTATCTTTAGTCAAGTTGAAGACAGGCAGCGTTCCTGTGATAACAAGACCGAGTTCCTATTGTAACGACAAAGTGAAAAGCATATATATAGACAGGCAGGAATAAAAGACACACGCAGACACACAAAGAAACAACAACAAGTTAGAATATCTGTTGAAATAATTCAATGCATATTAATCACGTTGAATTTAACAAAAATAGCTCATATAAATACATCATTCACATATTCTAATATGGTATCATTGCAGTTAATTACTAAATAAGTAATTCAGAGGCTTAACTATATGATCCAGAGCCTTGAGTTCAAATCCTACTTTGCAGCCAGAGAATTTAAATATATTTAAGATATAAAACTAGAATCAGTAATGATGGCCATGAGCTATTGGATTGTCGTAAAAATCCATACGATTTCCTGATATCCTTTAGGAAAAGAAATTAACCATCCTTACCTGGCACTCTTTGTGACTCCAAACCCATATCAAACCATATCCCTTAACCGCCCTGTGAAATGACCTAGCAAGTCTCTCAGAAACTGAAGGAGGCAGTTCATTCCACCTTCCGTAGGGCAATTAGAAATGTAAATAAATGCTGATTTTGACACTGATGTCTACAACTCATGAATGAATAAAATAGTGTACATATTGTGTCATGACCTGCATCATATCCATTTTCCTTTCATTATACTCCACTAAATCACACTGAAGGCAGGTAATCTGGTCCGCTCCTCATGAATATTAATAAACATTGCCCAAGCATCAGGACAAATGGACCATTCTCTGTGTTGCTACGAATAATTTAAAGTAAATTCCTTGAAATTCAGTGCAGTTGAGAAAATCAATCCTGGGCTCACAGCTAATGCCTGTTTGGCAATATAGATGGAACAATGATTGAGTTGGCTTGTAATGCCAGTCATGATTCAATAGACTTCTAGCGATTACATAAATCTGATAAGAAGTATGGCCACTAGCATAAGATGTTCAGATGTAAACACATCATCTAACCTCACGAAAGAAAATCCAAAGCAACAGCATGAATGTCAAATATCATCAGTACTAACTGGCACTAAGATAACAGTAGTTTTAATCTGATGGACTACAGGCATCAGAAATTAGATATTGTCAATTATTTCCTTCTTTAGTACATTTTCCTTTGTTCAGATATTTCTCTCATTCCTAGTTTCCAGTGTAGCTGGGGCAGGGATCACCACTGCAGACTGAGTGGTTGGTAATTGCTTGGTTACTGCCTCTGCTCTGAAGTCAGCAGTGAGAAGTCCATGATCCGTGTCAATTCCAACTTGTAATTTCCCTTTCTCATCAAGAGGAAGTAACTCTGGTTAGCTCTGTCTCTGAAAGCACAGCTGGATTAGAAACTTTGCTTAAACATGATCATACACACGAACAACTGGAGTGCCAGGATACTGTGCCATCTTCTGTCACACCCCACTGTTCAGTAGAAGAACATATAACTTAAGTGCAGTAGTAGGCTATTTGGCCCCTGGAGCCTGTTGTCCTATTTTATAAGATCGTGGCTAATCAGATTGCGGTCTCAACTTGACTTTCCTGTCCAGCCATCATCCTGCCTTCACTGTGGGGAAGAGAATTCCACAGACTCACAACCGTCTGACAGAAAGAAATCTTTATATCTCTGTCTTAAATGGGAGACTCTTTAATTTTCAAAAGAGTCCTTTAATTCTAGTCTCTCCTATAAGAGGAAGCATCCTTTCAGCATCCATTCTGTCCAATTCTCCTCAGGATGTGATATGTTACATTAAGATCATCTCTCTTTTTGCTAAATACTAAATAATACAATACATTTGCTCAACATTTCCCCATCAGATAACACTCCACTTCATCCCAGAAATGAGTCAAGTGAATCTTCTCTGAATGGCTTTCTATTTTACCCTTTGTCAAGGAATAAGGCCAAAACTGTACGCAGTGCTCCAATTGTGTTTCACCTGCACAACTGAGGCAAAAATAACTAAAGAACAGCATGCCTCACTAAGGACCAAACAGTTGTCTTAGCAGTCAGATATAATTGACTTGAATCTTGCTGACATGTTTTAACACCCAGCTGGTTCTGTTTTGCATGACAACTTCATGTACCCTGAGATCTAAGCCAAAACTGTCCGAGGATTTTGAAACGAGAAAGCCTTTAATCTTTGCCATTAATGTGACACTCATTGTAACGATTACAAATTAATTCCTTCATTATCTCTCGACTTGGCTGCTCCAACATACTCCTGGCTGGTCTCCCATATCCTACTCTCCATGAACTTAAATTCATCCAAAACTCTGCTGAACGCACCTTAACTCATAGCAAGTCTCATTCACCTATCACAGCTGCGCTCAGTGTCATTGGTATAACTTCTCTGACTTTGTTAATTTGTTTTGCTTCAACCTTTTGTCAATCTAAATATTGCTCACTTCACCCTTAGTCACAGCACAGCTCTCCTGCTTTGGACTATTCTTTTATTTATTGAGCAAATTGAAATCATCAGAAATATTTCTGATGAAGGGTCTAGGCCTGAAACGTCAGCCTTCCTGCTCCTGTGATGCTTCTTGACCTGCTGTGTTCATCCAGCTCTACACCTGGTTATCTCAGATTCTCCAGCATCTGCAGTTCCTACTATATCTGTTGATATTTCAGTTGAGGCATGCACTGACGAAGAGGAAATGCTGCAACAATGTTTGCTTCAGAAATCAAGCAGCCGGGATATACGTTTCACCGACATTTTTGAAATGCTAATTGGAATGATTCATTCTAACTTTTACAAATGACACACTAGGATTTATGCAAAGTAAAATGGTCCCTAATTCCCATTCCAATATGACAGAAAAATCAAGGTCATTTGCTCCAGTAATTTTGTTTAAGAATTTTAAAAAACGTTTGCCCTTTGAAATGCTTCATTTTATACAGATATCAAAGCTATCCTAGTTTTCAAATATGGATGAAAGTACCAGTTAGACCAGTAAAAATAAAATCTATACTTAAAGGTGACATGGCCTTTAAGATAGGGCACTCAAGCAGTACAGTCTGGCTGTCCATCATATAAAATCTATAGGTGCCAGGATTTTAAACGTTGAGTCAATATCATAAAAGTCAATTTAGATCTCAACAGCATTACTACAAATCTATAACATGTATTTCGATTTTTAACAATCCACTTGCCATCATATCTGTTCTTGATGAATATAAACACCATCATATCCTCATGGTCATGCGCCTTTGAAAAAAACGTAATTTTCATGTCCTATTTCACACTTGTGATTCCTCATATCTGATGCTATTGGAAAATGATGAATAAATAGTATTTGAACCTGATACACACAAATTACAGCTGCACAAAGTTGAGGTGTGCTTTTCCATACAAAATAGTTAAAACTGCAGTAATTGTTGAATGCAATGGAAAGATATCCATGTCTAATTTTTGCAACAAGAATACCTCATAAATATTGAGCAGCTACCAAACAAAATACTAGTTGTAGGGTTGGATGAACACAGCAGGCCAAGCAGCATCAT